GCACCCCAGCACGCAGGAAGTGCCCTCACACGGCGGCGCTTCCTCGTCGCGGGAGGCGGGGCTACGCCGCGCGGCCACAGCCACCGCGAGACTCTATCCCGAGGTGCATTTCGGCGCGGCCTAAGGGCTCCTCCTCCTCGAGACGCACCTCCCGGCGTGCGTCGCTCCTTGGTCAGCCTGGCGGCCTGAGCGGGAAATTCAGTCTCTCTCCTTCCAGCTTCCGAAGTTCTCCGTCTGCGGACGCCTCTGGGACCGGCGGTGCTGCCAGCCCTGAGGTGTAGAGGTTCGAATCCTGGCCCCGGGGGGGGCGCGGCGCAGAGAACTGACGAGACCAGCCGTACACGTTTCGTTCATTCGCCAGCCCCAGGTTTTGTTCTGACACTAGACCCCTCCAGTCTGCGCTTGCCCTTAAGATTGTTCCAGGTACAAAACGGCGTGGCAGGTCTACACTGGGAGTAATGATAGGCTGACCGCCAGCCAGCGCTTCATTGCTTATCTTAGACCCTCATCCCATTTCTCTGGGGGAGAGATCCCTGATGGTAGAGAATTCACCCGGGGGTTGCCCTGGCGGACCCGCCCACTCGCCTGCGGGAAAGCCTCGAGCTAAGGCTCACGGAGCCGCGACTCCAGTGAGAATTGGTGAGCAAGGAAGAGCTTTGGGAGCGCGTTTACGGCTGGGGGAGAAAATGAATGGTTTGAACTTTTTGGGAAGAGGGACCCACCACTGAGGAAGCACTTTTTAAGACTGATCCACTACTGACAGACAAATGCGTTGAAAGAATGAGCAAATGAAGCAGATCAATTAAAAAGAAAGAAAAAGAAAAAAAAAGGGGGGGGGAGCACGGCCTGGGAAGGAGAGACGGTAGTGAAATCAATAAACTCCAGTTGGTCCATAAAGAAACTGGTAAGACATTGAAAGACGCTTAGTACCAAAACGCCCACCCACATTCTTTTAACCTATCCCTGTCTGATGACTAACTTTGCCCAAAGCATTAAAAATTCGTTACCCAAATGATGTGTGGGTAATCTTTTTTTTCCTAGCAAAGAAGCATTCTCATCATTAGCCAAATTTCCTTTTTCAGCCCTCCTATAGAATAGGTATCTTAAAGTTAACTTGGCACCAATTTCAGATCCCTTGTTTCAGACCCTTTTATTTTGTCCAAACCACAAACATAGCACTCTCCTGTCCTGTTTCATTTTCCCAAGAAAATGAAATGACCAGAGAAAGTAAGAAAGCAAGCCACCAGGTCCAAGACTCAAACCCAGCCAGCCATGTGGGAATCCAGCACCTTAACCACCACGCCACCTGCTGACCCCAGAGTAAATTACTGAGAATGCAGTAGAGATCAAAAAAAGGAAACTATACAGAAGGTGAAAGACATGGAGGGAGTGGGACAATCTATCATTAATCAGAATTCCAAAAGGAAAGGTGAATGTGGCAGATACATGACAAGAAATGGCTACCAAATATTTGGATTTGAAGAAAGTTACTGATCCACAGACTTAATCCTAAATAGAATGAATAAAAAGATATCTAGATCTAAGTACATCTTAGTAAATATAGATCAAACAAGCTTAGCTCTAAGCTAGTCATTACTGAAGCTATGTAAGTCATTTATGGAATTAATTGTACTGTAGTCTATTTTTGTTTATGTTTAAAATTTGCATGATAAAAATTTTCAAAAGAGTAAGCGTGAAATAAAGACCTTTTTTCCCCAACAGAAACTGAGTTTGTCACTCCAAGAACTGGCTCTGATTCCTCTTTTGTGGTTTCTGGGCCCTCTTAGATGTTATCCTAGGATAAGAGAACTTCAACCTGAAGCTGGTATCATTCTAGGATGAAGGTATAGTATGAGAAGAATCCACATTTCTCAGTTCTGTACCTATGTCTACAGTGTGGCTATTTTTGTATGACTTAGTACCACAAGCCAGGGATGATACTTATAGAATCACTGTACTTCCAAGGAGTCACTTAGGGGCTGTAGCAAAGTGGAAGCAATCCAGATCTTAAAGAACCACACAGAGGGACCAGCAGTAAGCGTAATGGCTGTTGCTGAACTCCCATGTAGTCGACCACAGTTTGAGTCCCAGACCTGGTGGCTTAAACTCACACCGGGCACGTATGCGTGCGTGCCCAAGATCCCGAGAGAACAGAGGAGAAGGGATTGTGGCGTGGCCATCTCCCCTGGGAGGTGATTTCTCGCTTTCTGTCTCTCTCTGTCTTTCTGGCGAGCACACATGCCCTATAGCAAAAACCTCTCCAGAAAACAAAGAAAAAAAAAAAAAAAAGAACCACACTGAAAAAGGAAAACTCTAGTTGGACATTTTTAGGGGCAAATGCCTGGCCAGTCTCAAAATTCCTAATTATTGGACCTAGTAAATTCCTGAGTGAGATGGAACAGCAACAGTGAGCATATATATCTAAGTTTGGAACTAAAAATGTTAGTATGTCAAGAAGGAAAGAAATGACAGCAGAGTTCCTTTATTCTAGAAATATTTTAATACAATCATAGTACAGTTATGAAGTCACATTCAATCCACTAAATATACTCAAGGTATTAATAAAAATACTATACATCTTTATTCACTACCTTATAATTAAAATATTTGGTTCTTATCGATGAGACTGATTATTATATTCATTCATATTTGCAGTGCTAGTCAAATTTCATATAAGTCTATAGATTATGATAGTGGGCCTTCAGTCCTTTTTGATCAGAACTTTGAGTATCAAAAGTGTTTTTGTTCAATGCCACAATACTTAAATCCTAGAAAAACAGTTAACCAATTTAAGGCAAGATATTAAAACTTTTATACAACTTTAATTTGGAAAAAGGGATACTTTATCAAAGATCAAACATGCCTTAACATTTAGATACCTGTAGATTCATATAAAGGCAGTAATAAAAATATCAGTGCAAGTTCCACATTATGCTCCTCAGTAGAGAAAATAATGGCTTCCTGGACTGAACCATTATCTTCAAGTCCCAAACACTGGCAAGAGGAAAGAATTCTTCAGGTGTAGGACGACTTCCATACAGCATAATTAATTATTTTTACTCCATAAAGATAGGTAGAAAACATTGTGATGATACACAAAAATTAGTGTTTTGGCCAGTTTGTTTACACTTGTTTTTCATATTTACTTCAAACCTTTAAAAAGATGTTTACGAATCCAACTGATTTAAAATTCAACTGGTAGTAGTTAGTAGTGCAAAGAGTCTATCCTTTTGTTTGTTTGTTTTGGTATGGGCTAAAGATTAGCATTTAGTGAAGAAAAACTTATATTAAAATATATGTAAAATACATGTATGTGTTTTAATGACCAAAAAGGCACAGGATGAGTTAAATTAAGAGAAAACATTATCACTATTCTTATTAACTGTACAGTATTAATCATCATATACACTTTCAGATATAAATCCCGATTTCTGATAATTGAAAAGTGACATTAAATTTGCTAGCTCTATTATTTCTGCTAGAAGACACTGCTGTAACAGACTACCAAAATGCAGTAGTGCATGTTAAGTTCAATTAACAATGACCTTTGACCAAGACAGTACTTTATTTTTTTACAGTGGCTAAGTGACAACTCATGGAATGGAATTAGGTCTCAGAAGCAGGTGAAAAATTTGTGCTATTTACATTTACGAAGATACTTACACACTTAAAGGAAACGTTAACCGTGGAAAAAGCAAACAGTGGTGTTTTTATCTGCATTTTAATTAACTTATTAAATAGACAACAATTTTAACATTTAAAAAAGATATTCATATATCACACTCATTGGTTTTTCTACAAATGGACCATTAGTGTTAGGCACCAAAAATATCAAGACTTTTTTTTTAAACCTGTGTCACTGATCTGTCCTCAACTCTTCTATTTCTGCTCTGTAAGAAATGCAATTTACACTAAACATTTATACAGCTCACACAGATTCTGTTTAGGGAACCGATCAGAGATTGTCCTTTCTCTCGATACTCTTCGTTGACTGTTTTGTCAGTTTTCTCACAGCAACCTGACTACTACAGTTTTTATTGCCATTTTAAAAGTGTCCGAATTTCTATTCTAACCATGAGAGTGATTACTATAAATACATATTTAGCTAAACTAAACAAAATTGTTTGAAGTTGAATGAATAATAAAAATGAATCATTTTTAATGGCTACTACAGAATAATTTCAATCCTGTCCCTTATGATTCTGAATCCCATTATATTAAGTAGAATAATTCTGTCATGTGAATGTACGTTTACAAATGTAAGACAGCTTACAAGACAAACGGTCATAGACGTCTATATTAAAACTCAGTCTGGACCCAAGAATTCTTGTCCTGGGCCTCTTGTGAAGAGTCTGCCCTACTAACGGAATTTTGTTGCAAACAGGAATGAGCATATGAGTGAACAACTTCCACGTGTTTTAATGATGAAGCAGAGGGTAGAGAGATGGAGGTGAAATGACCAAACTTCAGTTCACACATGTGGGCATACATGTGGGATTACAGTGGAATGATGGGAACTTTGTATACAGTTAGATTGACGAGTCTTGTTTGGGTATTGGGCAACAAAAACTTAAATGGCTTGACTGTTAAAATAACTAAGTCACACATCAGAAGTAGAGAAAATCATCTCTTCTTGTCCTTAACAAGTTGAAAGTGAGTGAAAAGTCAGGAAAAACATCAGAAAAAGTGCCAAGGAAGCATATAAAGTTAAGTAAGGCACCATTATTTACAATTTTGGTGATTGGCACTTTTTCTGAAAAAGGCTTTAAAGACATGAATAAAAAGCAATATTGTTTTTTCCCCTACTTCTACAAACTACTGAGTAGTTCTGAACAGAGCTATCTATTATCTGTTGTGCTTTGCTTCCCAACCTGGTGAATAGCAGCTGCATTTTACGGTAACATCCTGCATCTTTACTTTGGTGTTTGTGAACATACACAGTGGTGAAGGCTCTAGAAGGTGCGTAACAGGGAAATATACAGGCTATGTCTGTAGGAAACAATGCAAAATAGGTGGCTGAGCAGACACAGTTCTATCTCCAAGTCTTTTTCAGACCTTATTAAAAGTTTAGGGTTTGTAGCATTTTACACGATGCCTTTACAATAGCAATGGCTTCCACAAATTCATAAAAGTTATTAGTTATGTGACTGTTGGTCCAATGGGTGTGTTGAAATGCAGCAAGTATATTTAACTTTATCATTTCTATCGAAGTATAAAAATACTATACAAAGTTCACAGGTGTATGTAAGCACATGTTTACAACTGTTCTTGCTTCCAAAGCTCAGAAGTTCACTCATCTATAAGTACGTTGCTGCAGTCAGCTGATACCACTTCACCGTCTCTTTGCTTAAGTTGAAATCTTTCAAAGGCAAGGTTATTCCGCCCAAGAAAAAATTCTCTCGCAGAGATTCTGCACTAAGTACACTTAGTTGAAGTTCTCTCTGTCTTAGGGTTTCTTTGCTATATCCACTGTACACAAGCTACAGCAAAGGAAAAAAAAAACATTAAATTACAAACAGTTTGGTTTCATAGAATTGTTTCATTTATTTTAGTTTGCTAGGTTTGCATGTGTTTTCTGGAGTGGGGGTTGGGTATGAGAAAGCACCCACAGTCCCTTCTCCATTTTTCCATTCTGTCAAGATTTTGGGCACACACACACATGCCCAGTGTTTTTCATACCGCCAGGACTGGGATTTGAACCACAGTCAGGCTTAGGGGATCAGTTCCCCTTAACCCCTAGGCCGTGGTGCCAGCCCAGTTTCTTGGAATATTTTAGGAGAAAACACAAGTGAGAATTATTAGCCACATATGACTATGATGAATGACACTGATGTGACAAATCTGGTGGGACCTGTCTTAACACTTGAGAAGTACATTCTGTACTTCAGCAGTCCTGTGAGTGTTTTTTATAGAGATGTACTAAGACCAATCATTGGCTAAAAATAGAAACTAGAAACAAAATAAAAACTAGCTTTTCTTCTAAGATGGAGGTAATGGGGAAGGGAAAGAAATTACATTGTAGCATATCTTTTTTTATTTTAAGAATCTTTTTTTTAAATATTTATTTAAATTTGACCAGAGAGCGACAGAGTGAGAGAGAAAGAGAAAGCCAGAGGTGGGTGCTGGGGGTGAGAATTCAAGCAGTCAGGTCTGGGACTTGAACCATGGTTGGCCATGTCTCTCTCAAGTCAAATTTAAAAATAATAATAATAAACAGAATTAAATAAATATTTTTTTAAAAACTTCTCATCACATTCAATACTCAGAACTTTTATTTTCCAGAAAGCATCACTATAAATTCTAATATCTGTTTAATGTATCCTTTTGACTTTTTGGCATGAACCAAAAACCTGCCTATGTTTCATTTTCTTTCTTTTTGAAACAGGTTCTTGTTATGTCACCCAAGGTGTGTTTGAACTTGTGATCCTACTGTCTCCCCAGGTAGCTGGGATTACAGGCATGCACCACCAAACCTAGCACATAATTTGTTGTCTTGACAGTACAACACCAACTAGGAAAAAAAAAATAACAGTTGTTTCCTCTCTCCCATGATTTTAGTTATCTGAAGTCACTCGAAATACAAAAATAGGTGAGTAATGGGGCCAGTAGGTAGCGTGGTAGTTAAGGGCGCGAGACTATATGGCCAACCGCGGTTCAAGTCTCAGATCTGGCAGCTTGCTTTCTTACTTTCCCTCCCCCCTCCCTTTTGCTCTGTCCTTCTCTGGTCAAATTAAAAATAAATAAATAAAGTTAATAAAATAATTCTTTAAAAAATGGTTGAGTACAGTATGAGTATTTTGAAAGACCACATTCACTTTCATTGTATTGCTATGATTGTTTTATTTTATTAGTTATTGTTATAATCTCTCCTTGTGCCTGATTTATAAATTCTTAATCACAGATACATATGTATAGGGAAAAAACATAATATAGAGAAAGTTCAGTACTATATATGTTTTCAGGCATCCACTGGGGGATTTGGACTATATCCCCAGAGATAGGGGGAACTACTATACTATTTTATGAAAGTAGTACCAACTAGTCTTTACCAAGCATTGTACATGCTTTTAAAATGATGAAAAGATGGGGCCAGCAGATGGTGTGGTGGTTAAGACATTGGATTCCCTTTTAAAAAAAAAAAGTTATAAAAAGAAAATGTACATTTTAATAATTAATATATAACCTTCATAAAAATTCAGTTACTTCCTTCCAATTTTTATCCACACATTTTTGTGTAATGTTCACATATACATTCAATGTGAATGGGGAGAAGGCAACAAGGCATTTTGGCGGATTTTAATAGGTTAGTAAGTTTATACATGGAGCATAAGTAACTTCTTATCCCCTCCACATTATTCAGCGGAAGATTTGCTTATTGCTCTCAATTTTAAGCACTCTATTTTAAGAGGGCTATGGAAAGATTAAAACATATTCAAGGTGGCCAGACGGTGGCACAGTGGGAAAATGTGATGTCCTGCAAGGCTGACCCAGATGGCAAGGTGACATGTTCACGAATGGAGACCCTGAGTACACTGGACACTTGTGCACCCATGATCAGGGCTGGCAGGAGCTGGGAGTGGATCACAGTGTCAAGATTGTGCTGATTATCTGATGGAAGAAATCAGTGAGTAAACTTAAAGTCAAAGAAGAATGACAAAGGCAGTGTAACTGAAGATGTTTTTAAAAGAATAAGGAACCGGAAGGGCATTTGAACTTTAATATCTGAAGGACTGCCACAGAGAAGGAAGAAAACAATAGTGTAACTCTAAGGGTACAACTAAGACAACATGGGACCATAGGGAATCCAGATTCCAGCTCAGGGACCAACAACAGGTGGTGTAGTGGTTAAGGAGCCAGGCTTCCCACCTGACTGACTGTGGTTCAAGTCCCAGACCTGGAGCTTGAAACTTGGGTCAGGCACATGTGTGTGCATGGCCAAAGTCCCTAGAGAAGAAGGGATTGTGGTGTAGCCATCTCCCATAGGGGGTGATTTCTTTCTCTGGTGAATACACGTACCCTATATCAAAAAATTATCTTTAAAAAAAAAAAAAAAGGTTTTAGCTCAGTACGAATAATAATCTATGATTTGGAGTGTCCCAAGTCAAAATGGATGTTATGAAAGTAAACAAAGATGGGATTCTCATTTTCTGAAAATATTGTAGAGAGAGGTTGAGGTACTGGAAGATAGTTATATCACGGCTCCTGGGACCAGCAAATGGCATAATGGTTATGTCACTGGACTCCCATGTAGTCAATCACAGTTCGAGTCCCAGGCCTGATGGTTTAAAAGTTATGCCAGGCATGTGTACATTTGTACCCAAAATCCTGAGAGAAGAATGCATGTGGTGTGGCCATCCTCCAGGGGCGGGGGGGAGGGGGGTATTTTTGGCTCTTTCTCTTTCTGGTGCGTTCACACACCCTATAGTAAAAATACCTCTTTGAAAAAAAAAAAAAAAAATCATGGCTCCTAACTAGGGTCTTTATAAAACCTAAAGGTCTTTAATTATACATTGTATTTTACGTTTTTTTTTTTAATTCATGAGACAGAACATGTGTGTGCCTGTGAGACAATGAAGGGCACTTTCAGTAGGTTCTCATCAAGCTGTGCTCCCCTTCATGAGTCCTGCAGCTCATCAGGATCATAGATGTGTGTGCATCAGGGTGCTCTCAGGTACTCAGGATCTGAACCTATGGTTGACTATGTAGCTTCCACCACTGCAGTTCAATATGCTACCTACCAGACTGGCCGTACATAATTTTGTTAAATATCATTGGGCTGCCACTGATTTGCTTTGTACAGTAAATAGTTCAGCAACTGATGCCTTGATCCACCTCTAGCTTCTGCCAGCCCCTGTCATGGACACACATGTGCCCAGTGTACTCAAGGAGGTCTCTGGATGTGAGGCCAGAACTTCCCATGTGGGGTAGTCTCATAGAGTGTCAGGTTTTACTACTGCGCCATCATTCAGTCCCCAAATGCCCCCTGCCCCGCCCCAAAGAAAAGAATAGGATATTTTAAAATTTGAAATCACAGCGCAATATCTAGGGAATCTTTACAAATTATTTTAACTCACCATTTCATTGAATGTTGGATTCCTAGTTTTTCGTGAAACTTTTGTTTTACGTTTGGAGGTTTTGTGGGTATCTGGAAGTAGGTATGTTTTGACATATGGATTAGGGTCAGTCCCATCTTCAGTAACCTATAAAAAAAGGAGTCCCTTAACAGTAATGTTTCCCTCTGGGGTACAGTTTTCCTCTACAATCATCGTTACCTGTAATCACTCACCAGATCTTTGATATGCATCACCATGATAAAAAGAGTACCATTTCGGTAAGAGACAGATAATTTTACTGATCCTCCTACTTGGCCTGGAGTAGGACTGAAAGGACTTGCATCTAAAAATATAAATATTTTCATCTTTACTAGCTTGCAGTGATTCAGGCTGCAATAAAACAATTTTGCATTATTTCTAGGACCATCCTATACGGCTGGGGGCTGTCGGAGAGGAGAAGAGAAAATCAGTAATAGGCTCCTAATTTATATTTCTCTAAGTAATCACATGATATGAGGAAAGCTAAGTTTATCTAGAAATAGACTGGCTTAGAAAAAAATACCATTCTGCCATTCTCACTGATGATAGCCAGTAAACTGACTGCCACTCAGCCACATTCACTGAGCAATTACAGACTTGCAGGTATGAATTATCAACAAAAAGAAAAAAAAAAATCTCACCTGCAGACCTAGCTATTCCTTCAGCTTTCTCATCACGAAGTAAAGGGTGGAAAAAAGTACAAACCAGATCACACTAAGATAGAAAAGAATACATTCATTATTATGTAGCACAAAAGGTATAGTATGGTATTACTTCTCATTTAGGAAAGTCACCTCTGCTACATCCGTTGAAGCACTCATCAAACTCTGTAAATAACTGTTTAACTCAATTTTCCTTTTGGCTGCTACGTCTTTTATGTGTGTTCTTCCTAGAACCATCTTATTAGGAAAGCTACAAAAGAGAAAAAAAAAAAAAGAAATGGTATTTAAAATATTTCATCTAGAAATAAAATCAAGTACAGTATTTACTTAAGAATACACTTTTTTAATATACTTAAAAACATGGAGCCTTTAACCATTAGAAAGTAACTTTTTTGGCAATTTCTTTCGAACATTTTTTTAATTGTTTTATTTCACTTTATTTATTTATTTATTTATTTTGATTTGACCAGAGGGACACAAGAGATAGAGAGAGAAGAGAGAGAGAAAGCAAGCTGCCAGGTCCAGGACTCAAACTGTGGTTGGTCATGTGGGAGTCCAGCGCCTTTAACCACCATGCCACCTGCTGGCCCCCTCTTTTGAAAATTTTTGTGTTGTGGTTGTTGTAAGGTGCATGCCCTCACTGGAGACAGACAGAGAGAGGGAAAGTGGGAAAGCATTGACTCCCCTCCCCCCAGGAGGGATGGCCACACTGCATTCTCCTCCACTCACTTTTCAGGATTTTGGATACATATACACACGTATCCTATGTGTTTTCTCAGAAAGGCGCCATCAGCCACGTGGGATCCAGCTGCCTTGACCTCCATACTATCTGCTGGCCTGGTGACTTCTTTTTAAAGTATTTGAGAGGAAACAGTTTCATTATCTGTCATCCTTTATGAGCCTTAGTACAAAGGACACATATGCTGCTAATTTCCTTTATTTTTACTATCTCTTTTTAACTTATTCACAATTATTTTGTTCAGATTTGATCTCTAAAATAATTCACTCAATCTGCCATAGCTAGGTATAGATACAGGTAAAATCAACAGATGACATGATACCTAATTCAGTGCTAAAAGGATGATCTCAATTCCACTGTGTGTGGTGGCAGTGGAACGATGAAACTGCATTTGCAAATACTCTAATATCCACTTTGTTTCCTTTTTGAAATCTAGACTGAGATGAATATGAACAACTTCACACAGAAAAGCTACTGGCCATTAAGGAAAAATGGAGCATTTCCAAATGGTATCAGATACAAAACTAAGACGTAAGGTTCTGATGAACAGTTTCAGTGATGGTTGCTTCCATTTATTCTTTGTCAGAGGAACTAAGTATGGCCTGTAACAGGCCATTTCTGTGGTAATTTGGTACTTATTTTTCTTTTAAAGAATTAATTGATTTATTTAATTCCATTTGTTACCATTATTATTTTTAAAATTTGACCAGACAGAGAGAGAGAGAGAAACAGAAAGGTAGAGAGCAAGCCACCAGGTCCAGGACTGAAACAGTGGTCAACTCTGTGGGAATCCAGCGCCTTTAACCACCACACCACCTGCTAGCCCCAGTATATGACTTTTTAAAAACCAAGATTCCAGTTATTGTGTTGGTTAGAGACAAAAAGTAGAGACAAAAAGTCCAAGCTTTAGCTAAAGTTAGAAGTCTGGAAAATTCTATTTTAACATCTTTACTCACTTAACAAAAACTCATAGCCCTTGTCTATTCTGTATTAGGTCCTCGTGATACAAAGGGAAATTAGCCAGACGTGATTCGTAATATTTTACTAAGTGTTAATATAAGGCTTTTTACCTACACTTTATAGTAAACTGTTTTCTACAGAATAGGATTAAGGCACAAGGATGGGAACATACCCTGGTAACTTCCAAAGTGGAAAAATAATACTGAGTTTATTGTGAAGTTCCTGAAACTCGTCAAATGTCCGGAAAACAAATGATGGTTCAAGCTGTCCTTCCCTCAAAATTCGGACAACATAAATCTGAAAAGAAATCACACCAAACACAATGAATTTATAGTAAAATGTCTTTTAGGAACAGGAAAGAAGTTTATAGTTTGATATAAGGAGTCCAAGTGCTTTTAACTTGGTGTACTATAAGGGGGCTTAAAAAATTTCATTGAATGTGTATATAATAAAAAAACTAGGCATTTTTTTTTTAAATCTTTAAAATTTATGGTACAATACATGCACTAGAATGTTTCCATGGACTTTTTGAAGTCCCCTTGTATATGTCACCAACAGGAAACTGCAAATATTAATATGAAAGTCATTATATTATTTGTACAACTATTTATATTCTGGGAGTGGTAACAACTAAAATATAAGCAAGATCTTGAAATTGAAAGCTATTATATCTTCAAGACTAAATATAATTAATGTACTTCTTAAATCTATAAATTTACTTAATTTCCAATTAAACTGTCAATAAGTTCATTTAAGAAAGTAAATAGGAAAAAGCCAGAACATTAAATAGGGGGAAAGGTAAAACATGATGTCTTGTTTACTTGTTTATCAGTAAACGAATATGAGTTTATTCATACTTGCTGAGTAAAACAAGTTTTCTCTCACCATAAAAACTTGTTCTACTAGATATTCAAACTACTCTAAAGTCAAATATACCTATAAAAGATCAGAAACAAATTCAGGATGGTGTATAAACTTAGTATGTACAAAAGTGACATAGGGAAAAGACCACTTAATAAAATGGTATTAGGATAAAATACTCAAAATACAAAATGACACTAAAAGTTTGGAGAAAATAGGTAAAAAATTAAAATAATTAGTAAAAGGGCTTTTTAAAAAATTTAATAAATTTTTCTATAGGGCAGCTGTGCTCACAGGACAGAGAAGGAGAGTGAGAAATCATACACCCCCCTACCCCCCAAATCTCTTTTTCAGAAGAACTCCAAGTAACTCATGTAGTTGTTTCCCTCAAGGAGGTGACTCCTGCCCCTTGAGCATGGACTGCTTACTGACTCGTTTTGGAAGAGAGCACAATGGAAAGGGGGGACAAAGTAACTTTACAGTACAGAAGTACACTGCACAGCACTCCAGTCAGTGTACAGTGAGGGAGATGAGCATTAACTAACAGTTTTATTGTTGAGGAGAGGGAAAATGAAAAAATCATCCCCCAGGAGGAATGGCCACGCCACAGCCCCTTCTCCATTCTCTTGGGATTTGGGGCATACTCATATACATGCCCAGGCCTGGGACTCAAACTGCACAGTCGACCATGTAGTATCCAGCCACCTTAACAACCACACCCTGGCTGGCCTCAAGAGCTTTCTAAAAATCTACTGATAGATCAAAAATTTTAAGACCAATAGTACTGGAAAGTATTATCCAACAAATATATTAATACAAGTGTAAAAAATAACAGTAAAAATTCTATCTAGGGAAATAACAGACACTGAAGATCCTGCTTTTATTTAAAATTCTATGTTATAACACTATAAGAAAGTAGAATGGGAACTTAGATTTTTAGTCTATATACTTGTGTATTAGCTGAATTTATTAAAATGATCAAGCTTTACCTCTGAAACTAAGAAAAAACTGTAAAGAATGAGAGAAGTAGTCTTAGTCTTATCTCTGAAAGGAAGAATATCATTTGGCCTTGATAGTGTTCAAACAAACTTACCAAGAAATATATTACCCTTCCCCCCAATTAGGGATGCTTCAAGTACATTTACTTATTTTGTACCATCCCTGGAAGAAATAAGCACGAACAGAACAAATGCATGGACCTTCATCAGTCAGGAGGGAAACAGGGAAGACAACAATATCCACAGGGTTATCTACAAATATTGAAACCAAACTTACATAATGTTTATCTGGGTTGTATTTCTTATGATATGTGAAAACAGAGACTTCCTTGATTCGCCCGTCTTGTCTAAAGGAGTATGTTTTGGGTGAAAATGAAAGGATGGGTTCATCATTAGAAGGAAGACCAGAAAACCGTAGCTGAGCAAGGTTGTGAATGAAGAAGTTGAACTTCGTGGCGATGCTTCCCAAACTTGACTCAATCAGCCTACAAAATAATCAGAAAGCTTGCTGAAAATAAATGTTCATAGGAAAGAGGTAATTGGAACCGATGACTGGAGTTATGCTATATAATAAAACAATGACTTCATTATTTTATTTCCTTGTAATAAAGGGAGAAGGTGACAACTAAATAGGTATGGAAGAAAGCATCCAAAGTAACCAAAATTTTACAACAGCCTTCTATCAAATAGAATAGTAGAATTTGGTATCAGACTCTTTCAGATAATAGTAAATTTGCAAAATTGGGAAAAGGTATTTTGATAGGATAGGGAGTTTGGCAGAGACAAATTTGGAAAATGGGCTTAGAACATTTTAGGCAAACAGAAACAGGGTTAAGAAAACCAGAAAGAGAGGACTCAGAAAAGAGAAGTGAGAGAACCCTGAATACAGGTTTTCCCTTGCTATGGACTGAATGTCAGCATTCCATCAAATAAATATGTGAAGTTTCAATCTCCAATGCCACTTACTTGGAGATAGGGCCTTCACAGAGGACATTAACATTAAGTGAGATCATAAATGGTGGTGCCCTCTTCCATGGGGAATCTCCTTATAAGAAGAGATGAGGGAGGGCACTTGATCTTGAATTTCCCAGCCTGCAAAACTGTGAGAGAATTTCCGAGTCCTTCCTGGCCTGGTCATTGGTATTTTGTTATAGATGCAGATGAATGCATGCTTGGCTGTAGTTTTGCCTAGGGAAGCCAATGCATCTCTTTTAAGAAACAAAATAAAACCTATCAAAACTCAGATCCTCAGGATTAGTTTTGAAGGCTATGTAAAAGTCAGCTTCTTTCAATTCATTTCAGCCCAGGCCCTGGGAACTAGGAAAGTACAACCTACTGTTTTAATACCTTTTCTCCACTGAGAGGAAGAAGGCCATGAGAGAAAAGAGCAAAAAATGGGAGTTCACGTGCCCCGCCCTGCTGTCACGCTAACTGCTGGTCACTTTATGAACTATTTCTGAGAAACATATTTTAAAGAATTATCTTATTGGGAACCAGCAATTAGCATAATGGCTATGTCACTGGACTCCTACGTAGTCGACTGCGATTCGTGTCCTGGACCCGGTGGTTTAAACTCATGCCAGGCGCATGTGCGTGTGTGCCCAAGATCCTGAGAGGAGAATGGAGGAGAAGGGATTGTGGCATGGCCATCCCCCCGGGGGGTGATTTCTCGCTTTCTGTCTCTCTGTCTGGCGAGCGCACACGCCTTATAGCAGAAACCTCTCAAAAAAAAAAAAGAAAAAAAAAGAAAGAAAGAAAGAAATAGTTCATAAATAGGATTTTTTCCTATATGGCATGTGCACTCACTGGAGAGACAGACGGAAAGTGAGAAATCACCTCCCAGGGGGGATTGCTATGCCACAATCCTTTCTCCTCCATCCTTCTCTCAGGATTTTGGGCATGTGTGTACATGCACCCAGCGTAAGTTTCAAGCTGCCTGGTCCAGGACTCGAAACACTCAGCCATGTAGGAGTCCAGTGACGTAACCATTAGGTCATCTGCTGGTCCCCATAAATAGAATTTGTATAACTAAAAACATGTATTATACTAAATAAAACTTGATATTTGAGAGAAATAAATGTGTGGGGTTTTGTTTGTTTTTAAAGAATTATTTTATTTAACTTTATTTATTTTGACTTAAGCAGGGAGGGACAGAGTAAGAGAGACAGCAAGAAAGAGAGGGAAAGTGAGAAAGCAAGCCACCAGGTCTGGGCCTCGAACCATGATCAGCCATGTGGGACCTTAACCACCATGCCATCAGCCGGCCCTGTTTTTTGTTTGTTTTTGCTGTAGGATACATGCACTCTCTGGATAGAGACAGAGGGAAAGTGAGAAATCATCCCTCAGGAGGGATGCCCACACCAAACCACAATCCTGTCTCCTCCATTTTCCTCTTGGGTCTGAGACTTAAACTGTGGAGTCAGCCATGTGGGATCCAGCTGCCTTAATCACCAATGGGTGTCCCAATAAATATTTTTAAAAGTTTGCAAATTTGTTTGTGTGTTTTGCTATAGGGCGCATGTGCTTGCCAGAGAGAAGCAGAGACAGAGGGAGAACAAATGTTAAAAAGCACCCACCCCTGGGGTTGGGGTGAATAGCCACACTGCAATCCTTGCTACCCCATGATCCTTAGAGCATTTTGGGCACACATCCACAGCCTGGTGTGTTTCACAAGCTGGCAAATCTGAGACTTGAACCATGCAGTCAAGCCATGTGGAATCAGGCCCTTAAGATCCACACCATCTGCTGCTGATCCCACTATTGCAAATTCTTTGCATTCACTCAGTAAAAAGCTTTTGACAACCTAGTATTTGCTAATACTGTGAACTGTATTTTTTTTTCCTGTAACGCAGAATTCTTATATACAGTCATACACTGCATAAAGATGTTTTGATTAACAACAGCTTACATATGCAACAATGTTTCCTTCAGATGATAGTAGGCTATACCAAATAGCCTGTGGTGTAGTAGGCTTTACCATCTATCTGTGTAAATACATGCTATGCTGCTGCAGAGTGACATTGCACATTCTCAGCATGTATCCCGTCTTTAAGCAACACATGACGATATAACTCTTGTTTAAACTAAGGTAAAACAAATCAAAGCCAAATTCTATGTGGCTTGTCCAGTATACTTAAATATGCATTACCTGGTAAAGAAAATTGTAGCTTCTGCATCTGTAGTTTGGGGCTGAAGTGCATCTCTAACATATTTCAAATCTTGAATACTTGTAAGTTCTGGTAATCCTGAAGGAATCATCTATAGAAGAAAAAATGTTTTGTAAGTTGAATTAAAAATTTTAAAAATCAATTCTCTACACCTCCCTGAAAAACCAGTCAAATAATTAGAAATTAGAACTAAAGCAAGCAAAAACAAATAGTTTTGAGGAGTGTGTTAGTGTTTTTCTTACTAAGTATTTTCTTACTAAGGAGGAAATTGAGTCAAGTGACTTACTTGTTGGAAATCACAAAACCAGTAGATAGAAGAAAAGCTGTGATAGCCAGACCTTTTTTTGTCTAGATTTCTGTATTTATTATCATACCAATTTTAGTCATAATAGTCAGAGGGTTCTGTTTTTATTACTTTCTACTGAAGTATAATATATATCCAGAAAAGTACAGAAATCCTAAATGTTAGCGTAAGGCAAGTCCACAGTCCACATGCATGCATGCCAAGACACACAGCCTCCCAGATGCCCCTCTCCAGCTTCAATGACCACTCCCCCAACCCCATGGGTAACCACTCTACTGGCTTCTTCTTTTGTGTTTGGAGCCAGATAGTATGTACTCTCAGGTCTGGCTTATTCCACATAGTAATTTAAAGTATTTCAGTAATAATATAGGTGACATTTGTGAGTATAGTAAGTTTTATTCCAAAATTACAAAATATCCTTTTTTGATATTAGAGAACAGATTCACTAATACAAAATTAAATGTTTGTAAAGGACAGAGTTACCAGTGAAAGGAGGTTAAGAAAGAGGTTTGTTTGCTTTCGTATCAAGTTGTAGGCCTGGCAACAGAGGTCCACAAACAACTGGAAACGAATGGTGGGCTTTTCACCCCCATTAATGACGTATGCCATATCAGAGGTCAGCACGAAAGGAGCCCGATCCCTATGTAAAATGAAAGTTCACACAAAGTATTATTTACAGAAGACACTCAAACAGCGCTATTCATATTACATGGCTATTAAACAAGCTATCTGAGCTATAGCAATTTCCAACCAGAAAATTTACTATGAGGCAGTTTCAAATTTCCATCAATCTTTTATTTTATTTTATTTATTTATTTTATTTTATTTTCCAGAGGGGCCAGGTGGCGGTACAGGAGTAACACAACTGGACCCACATGTGTGAGGTCCTGGGTTTGCGTCCTGTGACTTCCCTGAGCATACTGGGCACATGCGCATCACCCAGGCCAGTGGAAACTGACAGTGCTTGTCTGTCATTATCTCTGTCTGTCTCTGCATCTCATGGAAGAAATAAAAAGAATTTTCCCAGAGGTTATACCACAATCCCTCCTCTTGAATTTCTCCATCCTTTTGAGATTTTACACCCATTCACACACATGCTCATGTGTTTTTCAAGCATGGATCTAAGACTCCAACTGCGCTGTCAGCCATATTTGATTCAGCTCCCTTAACCACCACGCCATAAACTGGCCCTCCATAAATCCTAAAGATTCACATTTTCAGTAAAGTCATCATAATAATCTCATTATCTGGATAGATTATGGAATTTTCTCTACAGTGATACTTAGAAATTCATATATCCAAAGAGATATCAAACAGTAGTTACAACTGTATGTAGAGAAACAACTGATACCCACTGCCACTATACAAGTGGAACCATTTCTAAAAGGCACCCCCCCTAGTTAGATAACATAAAACAGAACTTGCTTCATTTCAACAAAGTTTACACACACACATTCTCATTCTTGTCTACTGTGTGGTAAAGGCATCTTGCAGGGCCTTTATCATTCTTAGTTATGCTCAAAAGAAACCCCAGGGCAAAGCACAGCAAGAAAAAAGGCAAGGTTTGGGACAATGTGAGAAATAAGCAGTGCCGCCTCTCTTTAGCAACAGCAATAACCACAGTTCAGTACCTTCTGAAGCTACCAAACATCTGTGCATGGCCTAAAAACTTTCCGAAGTCAATGTGAAACATGTGTCCTGTGCTTCTAAGCATTATATTGTCATTGTGTCGATCGCAGATGCCTAAGACGTAGGTGGCTACACAGCATCCAGCACAAGAATAGATAAAATTCTCAGAAGCCTGCAATAAATCAGAAAAGTAATTTAGGAAATAAAAATGTTTTAAAAGGAGACAGGGCTTACAAGATTAAAGCAATTCATTACTCTTCAAAAACACTACTGTAACCTACTCAACAGCATACAAACCAGGTTATAGTAATAAAAGATGACTTTTCACAATTCAAAAACAAAAGCACCGTTCTTATGGTGACTGCTCCTGCTCCTGGCTTTTGTCTTTAACCAGGCAGGGATTAAGTCAGTCCCCACTCAGGTATAGCTGCCTTTGAATAGCTTTTAAGCATTATGTTTGTAAAAATCTGCTCCTCATAGACTCTACTGCTTACCATAGGTGTATCATTGAGGCAAAAATCAATCTGGATAGAACAGTATTTTTTTTTTTCCCTCTGCTTGTAAGAAGGACACATAAAGTTAGCTTATATCTTAACATCCAATGATACAATTAGGGTGATGTTTCTCATTTGCTAACTCACTATGTGTCCTCTATAAGTTTCTCAGAGCTAGAGAGCATCTTTTATTTCAGTCCTGCCTATCCTACTGGGTTGTTAGGAAAGTTATGATGCATTTTATTTTTTAAGAGGGATTTTTGCTATAGGGCACATGTACTCACTGGAGAAAGTAAAAATGAGAACTCCTCCCCCCACAAGGGGGCATGGCCACACCACAATCCCTTCTCTTTCATTTTCCTCTTATTTTGAGTACACAGCATATGCACCTGGCATGAGTTTCAAGCCAGTGGGTTCAGGACCTGAACCATGGTTGACCATGTGGGAGTCCAGAGCCTTAGCCACTACACTACCTGCTGACCCCTGGTCATGACCCAATGAAATTACTAATGCAATAATCATATAAAAGGATACAGAAAGATGCATAAAATGTGCACTTTTATCTAAAGCATATGCACTTAGTTATTCTCAAAATACTGCATTTCTCAGTGGTACGGTCATATGGCTCTACATATCCATGTGGCTAATTTTATTCCATAATGCCCCAGAAATCATTACCAATGCTGATGTAACAGCAAGTGTTTACACTGTATCTATCATAAACCAGGCACTTCTCACTCCTCTCTCTTTGTGCCTGTGGATACAGATTAACTTATTTAAAACCTCACAACAAATCCATGCGTGAGGCACTGGTATTATCACTATTTTACAGAAGAGAGAAAGTGCCGCACAGAGAGGTGGTATTATTTGCCTAGGATCACATACCTGCTAAATGGCTGAGCCATGATTCAAATCTGGGCAATCTGACTCAATTATGCCATATTCTCTATTATGAAATTACATAAAACATCTAAATGCCTAAAACGTGGTTAAGGTATGCCATTTGACAATTTATTTGGTGTTAAATAACTTAACCAGGAATTACAGAAGGGCCAGCATTATTAAAACAAGTATTAGCTTCTGCTATACTGCTTTCCTTAGGCCAGAAAGAGGTCACAAAAGGTTTAAAGTGCCTGCGGGGACAAAATTCCCATGGAAGTGAAACACTGACAATACATAAATGAGGCAGATAAATGATATTAAAACTGGGGTGGATAGTTGGAATGAATATCACTGTGGCAAGTGTTTCCTGAGTTTTCCTTAAAGTAATCCTTCCTTAGAAATAAGGATTACGGGAACCAGCAGTTAGCGTAATGGCTATGTCGCTGGACTCCCACATAGTCGACCGCGGTTCGCGGCCCGGACCCGGTGGCTTAAAACTCACGCCGGGCGCGTGTGCGTGCATGCCCAAGATCCCGAGAGGAGAATGGAGGAGAAGGGATTGCGGCATGACCATCCCCCCTGGGGGGTGATTTCTCGCTTTCTGTCTCTATGTCTCTCTCTGTCTGTCTGGCGAGGGCACGTGCCCTATAACAAAACCCTCTCCAAAAAAAAAAAAAAAAGAAAAGAAATAAGGATTACTAGAGGCCTCATGTCCTAAGAGATTGCTCTTTCTCATATGTAATTCAAAATAACACTAAAACACACACACACAAACTGCTGCTTCAAATACCAATAAGAAGAAAAAAAACAAGAGCTATCAATTGTACAATTTTCTCCATGTAGTGCATTATATTAGGTTGCCGGAAAAGGCCTGATGCATTTCTGCACAGAAAAATACATCATGACTTTTCCAACAGCCTAATATATACTAACTCATTTAATTCTCACAGTAATCTTACGATTGTTTTTATAGCTATACTGTAACGCCATATTATATATTTTACATCACAGTCCACTGAGGCACAAAGAGGCTAAATATTAGTTCATTGGAAAAGGCCTGACATATTTTTCTGGTTTTCTGTGCAAAAATGTGCCATGACTTTCCTAACAACCCAATAATTGGCTCAAGGCCCTATAGCTGGTAAGTGATTTGGGGCCTGAATTCAAGCCCAGAAAGTCTGGCCCATAATCTATGCTCTTCACTACCACACGATGTGGGCACTCTTACTCATTTCCATAACTTCTTCCAAGATCTTGGGAAATGTAGCATTCTAAGTTATAAAAATACCTCTGTTTTGCTGGCCTTTAAGTATGTGTTTGGAATTTCGGCAGGGAGTGGTTAGCATTGATTTCACTTAGATTACTGCCATTAAATGCACTGTGTTTTCTACTCTTTTGAACACTAAAGAAAAGACTTTTTTTCCTGAGTAGTCTAAATGGATAAGTTAGTCGCCAGAACTAAAAAAAATAAAAGCACTTAAAACTTTTGTAATACATTTTTAATAAAGTTATTTAGAATAAGGAGACATGTGAATCACCTTTTCATATTCCTCTTCAGACGGATTGTATTTCCTCAGCCACTCTGCAAGTGGTTTGTCTTTAAAGGATCCTGTCACACCATACTCCACTTGGATTTTCCTGAGGGTATCCGAGGCAGGAACTAGCTCCACCATGCCTTTAACAACAAAACATTAAGCTATATGAAAATGTCTCCTAAAGTAAGTTTTCTTAAATCTATAGTTTTTAATCTTTGGTATAAGACACTGCCCTGAAATTACCACTTTCAAAAAAAAATCAACTGACAAATTATGCTAGAAAATGTGACCAATTGGGGACCAGCAGTTGGCATAATGGCTATGTCACTGGACTCCCATGTAGTCGACCGCAGTTTGAGCCCCAGACTCGGTGGCATAAACTCACACTGGGCACGCATGTGTGCGTGCCCAAGATCCCAAGAAAATGGAAGAGAAGGGACTGCGGCATGGCCATCCTCCCTGGGGGGTGATTTCCCCCTCTCTGTGTCGCTATCTCTCTCTGTCTTTCTGATGAGTGCACATGCCCTATAGCCAAAAAAAAAAAAAAAGACTTTCCAAAAGAAAAAAAGAAATTGTGACCAATTAAAACTAAAATTATTTCAAAAGTATCTAACATGTAAAAGTTGATTTTCACTTATTTGAAACTCTATAGACTGCATACCCATGTGGTAATCCCTTTAGGAAAACAGTTTTGTTTTTAAGACAGGTTTTTGCTATAGGATATGTGTGCTTGCCGGAGAGACAGAGAGAGAGAAAGCAAGTAATCACCCCCCAGGGGAATGGCCACACTGCAATCCCTTCACCTCCATTCTCCTCTTGGTATCGGGCATGCATGTGCACATGCCTGGTGTGGGTTTTAAGCTGCCGGGTCTGGGACTCGAATGGCGGTTGACTATGTGGGAGTCCAGTGACGTAACCAGCCATCTACTGGTCCCAGGATAACATAATTAATTACAAACTAAATGATATTGATCTTGCCAGTGAAGTTACTTATAAAGTCATGCTGTTTCATGTCAGCCCCCAAACTTTGTCTAATCACATACTTGGACAAGATAGAGTGTCTCACACCACACTGTGGGATATGCAGCTATGGGACAGCTACATAACTTAATAGAGAGAGTTAAGTCTCTATGTGTTTATATAGAAAGATCATAAAAATGTTATTTAAAGTCCAGGAGGAGAACTATACCTCTTGTGTTTAAAAAGAAAGATGTTATAGATATTAGAATATGTATTAAATATTTCCAGAAGGCTATGTAAATGGTTACATTTTGGGATTAAAATGCCTAAAACAAAGGATGAAGGTAGTGGGGAAAAACTAAGATTTACTTTTTAATTTATTCTATGATATACTATCTAGATATTTTATTATATACATATATTAGTCATATAATTTCAAAATAATTTATATAGTTTAAAATGAAGATATATTAGTGTGAAAATAAAAAATATACTAACAGATATCTGCTTTGGATAATAGACTGGAGAAAACCAAGTGACTAAGGTCTCAAGGACACTCCAATAGACAGTAAGCCAGGCCAGGTTTTAATTCAAGAAGTCTGCTTACACATGTCAGAATAAATTCATTTGGTTCTTTTTTTATAGAATTTTTTTTTTGCTATAGGGCACGTGTGCTGGCCAGAGAGACAGAAAGCGAGAAATCACCCCCCAGGAGGAATAGTCATGCTGCAATCCCTTCTCCTCCATTTTCCTCTCGGGATCTCAGGCATGCACATACATGCGCCAGGCGTGAGTTTAAGCGCAGGGGGTCTGGGACTTGAACCATGGTCAACTACATGGGAGTCCAGCAACATAGCCATTATGCCAACTGCTGGTCCCTCATTTGGTTCTTTATGTTATTTTGATTGCACATCTCATTTATAGTCAGAGCAACACCCTCTTGAGCACCTCTATCTTGATTTTAGAACTATGTCTAATTACTATGTGCAAAACAGTGGACCAAAGTTCATAGGATATACAAAGTACTACTAGCTATGTAAGACACAGCCTGCGCTTGAGAGAACATATAATCAATCCAGTGAGGGAGACACAATGCATAAAAAATAAAAGTAAGGTAATACAAAATAAATGTCAGGCTAGCCAGTGGTGTAGTATATACGGTGGCTAGATCCCACATGGCTGACTGCACAGTTCAAGTCCTGAACCTCATGACCTGATAAACTTGCTGAGCACACAGGTGCCCAAAATCTCAAAAGGAGGAGAAGGGATTACAGTGTGACTGTCCACTTCCCAATGCCCCACCTTTTCTCTTCAGTTACTGCACACTTCCTCTGGCAAATTTTTGAAAAAGTCTGAATTAAAAAACTTTTAAAAACTATAGATAGATAGTTTGCTATAGTGTGTTCACCTGAGAGAGACAGAGAGAGAAGGAAAGGGAAAAAGCACCTCCCCAGGGGGTGAGGGAGATGACTATGCCACAATCTCTTCTCTATTCTCTCAGGATTTGGGCATACAGGTAATATGCCCAGAATGATTTTCAAGGTGCCGGGTCCAGGACTCGAACTGCGCTGTCAGCCAAGTGAGATATAGTCGCTTTTATCACCATACCAGTGACTGGTCCCTAAAGCAAAACAATAAAATAAATCTCTGGTGAGAATTAAAGACGATTGCCGAATTTGGGGGTGGGAGATTACTATAAGCTAAGGCGCTTGTGAAAAACTTCAGACAGTGTGGCTGTGATTTCTGCATGTGAAACCTAAGGATACAATAAGATGATGCAAGTGAAAAACTCAGCACAGGGCAAGGCATCAACCATTAGTGAGACAATATTAAAAAAAAAAAAAAAAAAAAAAAAAAAAAAGATGATTAAGCCTCCAAAATTACATGGAGTTCCAAAAGGAGAAAGATGATGGACTATGTGAACAAACTGTGGTAACAAAAAAAAAAAAGAATCTAATTGAGATGATACATTGCTAAAGAGTTTTTTTTTTTGATAGAACAACTTACATCTTATAAAATGTATATGAATAACCATCAGCATGAATTCTTAAAGTGGCCCGCTTTTCTTTTTGACAAGATAAATAAAGTATGCATTTTCCTGTAAGCAAGGAAGGTTACAAGGCTCTCATGCTGTTCTGATGACTAAAATGGAAAAAAAGTGGCTGATAACACAAGACGAGACACTATGTAAAACATTCTACTTGATTTAGCCATCACTATGTGTGTGTGTGTGTGGGGGGGGGGCTCCAGTGGCATGAAAAAAAGTTGGTCCTTCACCCTTTCTTGGTAAACATGTTTCCCAATGACTTAGCAAAAGCAACAGAATATGTTCTTCAAATCTGCTCATGACAAGCTAAGGAATTCAATGACATAATAAAATGCAGACTTTTAGAAAGAATTCAAGAACTGAAAAGAAGTGGATCAAATACAACAAAATTTATAGTTAAGGCCCCACACATGAGTCTAAGATACAAAATGTACTACAAATACAGGAAGTCTAAGACATAGCTTAACAGTAAGTATAATGAGGTTTACCGGTTCACTTGTGAATAAGCATCAAGTGTGTGACACTTTGCCTGGCCTTTGTATTCTATAAAATCTAGATGCCATTTTTAGAGACAAGGAATTACTTGAACACTTCATAAGGAAAACAGTTAATAAGATACATGAGTCACCCTCACCTGGTGGGTGGTGTGGGGGGGGGGGGGCTCCAGTGGCATGCAACAAAGGTTGGTCCTTCACCCTTTCTTGGTAAACATGTTTCCCAATGACTTAGCAAAAGCAACAGAATATGTTCTTCAAATCTGCTCATGACAAGCTAAGGAATTCAATGACATAATAAAATGCAGACTTTTAGAAAGAATTCAAGAACTGAAAAGAAGTGGATCAAATACAACAAAATTTATAGTTAAGGCCCCACACATGAGTCTAAGATACAAAATGTACTACAAATACAGGAAGTCTAAGACATAGCTTAACAGTAAGTATAATGAGGTTTACCGGTTCACTTGTGAATAAGCATCAAGTGTGTGACACTTTGCCTGGCCTTTGTATTCTATAAAATCTAGATGCCATTTTTAGAGACAAGGAATTACTTGAACACTTCATAAGGAAAACAGTTAATAAGATACATGAGTCACCTATGACAATGACTGATGAATTTGGAACCCAAGATCTGAGGCCACAATACTGATCATGCTGAAGAGGAACTCAACTGAATTGTATAGTCTATGAACAGAATTAGAACCAATAGGTAAAAGACATCAGGAATCGGTTTCCAGTTACCTAAATACAAGACTTTTACAAGCTGTCAGAACCATCTGAGATAAAATGGATTAAAGTGCATTAAAATGCAGTGAATTCTCTTTGCTACAGGTATTTAACCATAAATTGTACGGCAAATGTTAGAAGGATGGTTAGATTTAGGTGACTTCCTAGGGTCTATTATTGGGATCTGTGCAGCATTTCTCATTTCTACCAACCATATGTGATCTTTCCCTCCTTTAAAACCCCACAGCATTGCTTTATCATGTTCTTAGAGCTTTTAGTTTATTAAAGCATATTCTTATTTTTCGGAGGGGGGAGAGGTTTTTGCTATAGGGCATATGTGCTCACCAGAAAGAGAGACAGAAAGTGAGAAATCACCCCCCGGGGGGATGGCCACGCCACAATCCCTTCTCCTCCCTTCTCCTCTTGGGATCTTGGGCACACACGCACATGTGCCCAGCGTGAGTTTAAGCCACCGGGTCCAGGACTTGAACCACGGTCGACTACATGGGAGTCCAGCAACATAGCAATCACACCAACTACTGGTCCCTATTAAAGCATATTCTAAGTCCTTATATACGTCTTTAATATAAGCACTACATATTCTTAGTATTTTACAGGTGGTAAATGCACAACAAACATTTATTGAGTAAGATTGATAATGATGATGGACCAGCCAGTAGCACAGTGGATAGGGCAGCTAGATCACACATGGCTAACTGCATGGTTCAAGTCCCAGACCCAGCAGCATGAAAAACATACCAGGCACTGATGCATGAATGCTCAAAATCCCAAAAGCATAATGGAAGAGAAGGGACTGCTGCATGGCCATCCTCCCTGGGGGTAATTTCTTACTTTCCCTCTCTTGGTCTCTCCAACGAGCATACATGCCTTACACAGCAATATTAAAATGAGGATGATGATGACTATCATTTACTCACATATAGTATCAGATACTGGATTATTTTACACTCGTTATTTTAAACTTAATAAATAATGAGATAAAAATCTGCTCTCCATGAAAAAAATCTTTGTAATCATGACTTTATTTTACAGAAATAAAATCAAAGTTGGTTAAACTTGGATATGGCCTTATTTTTCAGTTCAAAAGCTGAACGTCATGACGTTCTCACTGGGTCAATTAGACAGCTCTGATTACCACAGAAGTATTTATCAGGGCTAGCACTAAGCTGTTTTTTAAAGGGATGTAATTGTGATAAATGGAATCAATAACATAACAGATTAAAAGAAACTACTAAGATCATAGCATATCTGCAGCAAGACCCTTAGAGGCAGGCCTATTCTAAGCTGAGTTCACAGAAAAAAAGACAAGACATAAGACAGCTAATAAACGTACCTCGATCTCTGCCAGTTGAGAGACATTTGAAAATTACCATCCTCAGATCTAGTCCTTCTTTAAGCCATATTTTATCCATAATCTTTATCATCTGTAAAGCTAACATATCTTGTCGAAGATCTTCGCCAACCTTAAAATCAAGGAAACAAAATGAAACCTGTCCCTTTCTTTCTTTTCCGTTTTTTTTTTTTTTTTTTTTTTAATTTTAAGTGAGAAATCATCCCCTAGTGGGGATAGCCATGTCACAATCTCTTCTCCTTCATTCTCCTCTCTGGATTTTGGACATACACCCACACGCACATGCCCAACATGTTTCAAGCTGCTAGGACCAGCACTTGAACCGTGGTCAGCCACCCATACAGGAGTTTAGCACCTTACCTACCACACCACCTGCTGGCCTGAAATTTGTACCTTTCTAAAAGATTTTAAAAGATTATATACTGTAGGGACCAGCAGGTGGCATGGTGGTTAAGGTGCTGGATACTCCCACATGGCAGACCAGGGTTCGAGTCCTGAATCTGGTGGCTTGTTTTCTCACTTCTGCTTTCTCATTCTCACTCTCTGTCTCTCTCTGGTCAAAGTAAAAAAAATAAATAAACAAATGAATAAAATAAAATAAATAATTATTTTTTAAAAAAGATTATATACTGTAAAATCTGGAGGCTTGGGGGATAGTAAAAAGAATACAGAATGAGATGAACAGAACTACCTTTTTACTCTCTGCAGCTTCTAGACAAAGTTACTTCTTCATATCTCAATTTCCTGAACTATACAACCATACGTTTCAACAGTTTGAGTTTATGGATATGAATTATACCTGGGAATAAAAGGGTAACATGGGGGATCTTTGTGATGATCAAAATGTTCTACAACTTAATTGTATCAATGCCAATATCCTGATTGTGATACTGCACCATGGTCTTACAAGAGGTTACCATTGGGGGATTTGGGTTCAAAGAACTAGGATCTCTCTGGATAATTCCTCACAACTTCCTATAAATTTATAATTATCTCAAAAGAAAAAACTTACTTAAAAAATAAGTTTACTTAAGAACATAAACCCTCCCAAAAGGAATTAACTCTATTTGGAACACCAACAAGTTTTCCTTTCCTTTTTCTTTTTTTTGGGAGAGATTTTCACTATAGGGTGCGTGCGCTCGCCAGACAGACAGAAAGAGACATAGAGACAGAAAGCGAGAAATCACCCCCCAGGGGGGATGGTCACGCCGCAATCCCTTCTCCTCCATTCTCCTCTCAGGATCTTGGGCATGCACACACACGTGCCTGGTGTGAGTTTTAAGCCACCGGGTCCGGGACACGAACCGCGGTTGACTACGTGAGAGTCCAGTGACATAGCCATTACGCTAACTGCTGGTTCCCTCTTTTTCTAAAATTTACTATGGGGCATATGCACTCACTGGAGAGAGACACATAGACAAAGAGGGAGAGAAAGAGAAAGAAATCCTCCAGTGGTGGTGGGTGGCCACACTACAATTCCATCTTCTCTATTCTTTTCTCAGGATTTTGGGCATGTATGCACACATGTCTGGCGTATTTTCTAAACCTCTGGTCCGAGATTTAAACTGTACCATCAGACATGCAGGATCTGGTTGCCTTAACTACCATGCCACTAGCTGGCCCTCCATTTCCTTTTTAAAATGTAGAAAATAATTTTTATAAAGCACATAATGGGGACCAGCAGTTAGTGTAATGGCTGTAATGGCTATGTCGCTGAACTCCCATGTAGTTGACCGTGGTTTGAGTCCTGGACCCGGTGGCTTAAACTCATGCCAGGTACGTGTGTGTGTGTGCCCAAGATCCCGAGAGGAGAATGGAGGAGAAGGAATTGCGGCGTGACCATCCCCCCTGGGGGGGTGATTTCTCGCTTTCTCTCTCTCTGTCTCTCTCTGTCATTCAGACGAGCGCACGTGCCCAATAAGAAAAACCTCTCCTAAAAAGCACATAATGATGAACACATTCTTTTTTTTGAGAGTATTTTTTGCTATAGAGTGTGTCCATTCGCCAAAAAGACAGAGAGGGACAGAAAGCGAGAAATCATCGCCTAGGGAGGATGAACACACCACAATCCCTTCTCCGTTTTCTTCTCGGGATCTTGGGCACGCACACACGCGCACCGTGAGTTTAAGTCACCAAGTCTGGGACTCGAACCACAGTCGAAGTCCAGCAACATAGCCATTGCACTAACTGCTGGTCCCATGAACACATTCTTGAGACTACCCAAGAAATTGTGGAAAAGAATAAAGGGGGCCAATTGGTGACATGGTGGGTAAGGTAGCTAGGTCCCCTATGGCTGACTGTGTGGTTCATGTGCTGGGCCCGGTAGCTCAAAAACCACACTGGGCACCTGTGCTTGCATGGCCAGATTCTTAAAAGAAGTAAGAAGCAGAGGAGTGATTGCAGTGTGACAGTCTCTGTGGGGAAAGAAAGAGAAAGGGAAAAATGACAGAATGACAGAAAGATAAAAGGACAGAAAGAAAAGAGACCAGCAGATGGCGTAGCTATTGGTTGCATCACTGGCCAACCACAGTTTGAGTTCCAGACCCAGTGGCTTCAAAATGCCGAGTGCATGAGCATGCTGAAGATCCCAGGAGGAGAATGGAGAAGGGATTGTGGTGTGGCCACCCCCCTGGGGGATGATTTCTTGCTTTCTATCTCTCTGTCTCTCTGGTAAGCACACATACTCTATCAAAATCTTTCCCCAAAAAATTTCTCAAAAATTTCCAAAAAAAAAAAAGACAGAAGGACAGAAATAAATAGAGAAAGACAAAAAGAAAAAAAGAAGGAAAGAAGGGGTGAGTAGGTGGCAGAGTGGTTGTGGCATTCGATTCCCACATGGCAGGCTACGATTCAAGTCCCAGACCCAGCAGCTCGAAACTCACACCAGGAGCATGTGCATGTGTGCCAAAATCTCAAGAGAATGGAGGAGAAAAGATTGCAGTGTGGCCATCGACCTGGAGGGTGATTTATCTCTCTCTCTCTGTGTCTCTGTCTCTGGTGAGCACACATGCCCTATAGCAAAAATTTCTTTTAAAAAAAGAAAAAAACAACAGAAAGAAAAGAAGGCAGAAATTAATAAAGACAAAAAGAAATAAAGTCAGAAAGACAATAATACAGAAAGACAGACAAAAAGACAGAATAATGGGAATTTGCTTTAACAAACTAAAATCTAGCACATAAATGTCTGTAATCAAAACCAATGGTACTATTTTAGGAAAAGGCACTGACATCTGTGAAACAAAAAGACAGAGTCCAAAACTGAGTATGGGTATATGGGAACCTGCTATATGTCCATCAGAGGTGATTCAATAGAAGATATCTTGGCTAACTTCCATTTATCCAGCTCACAAATTAACTAAAACTCTCCATTCCTCAAAATATACAAATTATCGGGACCAGCAGTTAGCATCATGGCTATGTTGCTGAACTCCATGTATTCAACCACGGTTCAAGTCCTGGATCCAGTGGCTTAAACTCACGCCAGGCACGTGTGTGTGTGCATGCCTCAGATCTCGAGAGGAGAATGGAGGAGTAGGGAGTGTGGTGTGGTCATCTCCCCTGGGTGGTGATTTCTTGCTTTCTGACTCTCTGTCTCTCTGGCAAGCGCACGCGCCCTGTAGCAAAAACCTTGCCCCCCCCAAAAAAATAAGATCACAACACACAATTTTGTGATAGGTGACAGATTACTCTGTATTACTTCAGCACTGCTGCTCTCTAAGTAAACTATGTATTTCAAAACCCTATGCCACTGCTGATAGTTAGGCAGTTTTGCAACACACAGCTCTAAGAGGTGCCATTCCCATCATGGTCTGCACGAAAGGCACTGCCAGGGGTTATAAAGAGTCCCACAGCCATACCCACGGGCAGCAGTTCTAGCCCAGAGGGGCATTTATTCCCCAAACTGTTTGGGAACAGTTTTTATCAGTGATCATTTTCGCATAACTATTTAACTTAATTAAATATTAAATAAGCATAATTACTTTGTAATTTTGGAAAAGGAATTTGGTTAAAAAAAGCATCAATTCCCATTATAAAAATGTATACCTGTTTTGCTCACCTTAAACATAACATTAATTTCTTCCCCCATAGGATCGGCATTCACCATTGTGACTTTTAGGGGCATGGCATTAGAACTGAAGAAAGAACATGACTGCAAGTAAAACATATTAATCATTACAAAGGTAACACTGGAATAAAAATGGGCTTAGTAACTTTTCTCCTAGATATTTCCTTTTCACTTGTCTCTCTGAATTATGACAGATGAAAGAATACATGGGCACTGTTTTTTTAGATCTGGCCAATAAAAGGTTATAGAAATACTCTGAAAATTAAATTGTAGCATATATGAATGAAATGCCACCTCTTTAAGCAAAGAACTTGAGACAAAACTTTTAAAGTTTGATCTTCTTTTGTATTCATCCTTCAACAACACAGTCTTGTGCTATTCTTATCCTTTCTCTAAGTCACTGTGATCTAGGACGAGACTGCTATTTCTCTTATTCATGGTATTATCATTGGTAATTAGCTATGAAGTCAAATATTGCAAACCTTTCATGAAAATACTGAGTCATCAAGGACCAGCAGGTGGCATGGTGGTTAAGGGGTTGGACACTTCCACATGGCCAACCACGGTTCAAATCCTGGACCTGGTGGCTTGCTTTCTCACACCTCCCTCCCCTGTGTGTGTGTGTGTGTGTGTGTGTGTGTGTGTGTGTGTGTCTCGTTCTGTTAAATTAAAAAAATAAATGAATGAATAAATAAAATTAAATAATTCTTAAAATATAAAAACCTGGGTCATCAGAAAACTCATGACACACTTTTGCACAGAAAAACGGAAAAATACTTTATTACTCTTCCAATGACCCAATAATTCTGTGAGCAAAAATGATATCTTATGTTAAAATGAAATGCCTAAAATGCAAATTTAAAACAGTGAAACCAATTTAAGAGAAAAAAACATAAAATTTAAGGTGTGAGTAACTTTCCACTGCTTTTCTTTCAGGAATGGTGAGAAGGTAACAATATGCCAAGGTAAATGTGGACCCTAATCACAGACAGACATCCGTGCATGTACTCACAACCAACCTATGTAGGTTTCACCCTCATTTGCCTTAAGCATACCTGCCCGTTTGCCTTCTTCCTATGTATTATTTTGAAATGTATATGAATTTGTAAGTATTGTATATATCACCTTAATATTTAATTCTTTTGCCACTAGACTTGGATTCAGAGGGAGACGGCATTTATTTCTCAGAAAAAAGGACTGTACTCGTTCCATACTCCTTTGGAGGACAACCTATGGAAAGAGATTGATACTGTAAGTACATAATGAAAGTGAGGATCTATTTTAAGAAAAAGAAAAAAACTGTGCTGTGGATACATTTTTAAAATGTCAAATTTTCAAATGGTCAAAACTGTTGTTGCTAACCAGAGTTACACGTAAAAATAAAAGTGGGATGGGCAAAGGATAAAGTACCTATGGCCAAGCAATGTACATGAAAATGGTAAAGCTCACCAACAATCAATGAAATACTAAGTTGTTGAGAAAGTCATGATAAATTTTTCTGTTTTTCTATGCAAAAATGTGTCATGACTTTCGTGACATCCCAATAAAAGTTAAAGAAAAATGAAATGAAATTTTTCATCTGTCATGTAAAAACTTAAAGATAGCACCCAGCAATGGGAAACACCACCACCACCAATTTCATACATAATCTGTTGGTGGGGAGAGAGGTATATACAGGCATAGCTATTTCAATCTTACAGATACTATTAAAATTTAAAATGTACATAGCTCTCAAGTCAACTATTTCACCTGTAGGAATATCTTATAAGGAAATACTAGCATGAAGGCAAAAACTTATACACTAAAATTCACTGTAGTACTATTTGGGAAAGAAAGAAATGTATAAACACTCTACATAGACATAACAGTTCATAATTTATGCTATAATACCTTGAATATTATGTGTCTATTAAGAAACATGGAATAAACTATACATGCTGACAGCAATTCTCCAAGATAAAATTTAAAAAGCAATTTACAAAAACAAAATGACTAATTGTTGAGAGAAATGAAAAAAATATACAGGACTGGAGCTGTGGCCTCATGGTTGAGAGAACCAGATCCTACATGGGCAACCTCACAGTTCAAATTCCAGCACTGGAAGCTTAAATAACACACTGGGTGCATGTGTGCTGAAAATTCCAATTGGATAGAGAATTAGAAGAGAAGAGGTTGTAGCATGACCATGCTCTATCAGAGGGTGCTTTCTCCATCTTCCTCTCCCTGTTTCTGTCTCTTTCTGGCAAGTGCAAGTAGTCTCTGTTAAAATTTTAAAAATCAGGGCCAGCAGGTGGCATGATAGTTAAGGGTCCTGGACTCCCACATGGCTGACCACAATTTGAGTCCTAGACCTGGCAGCTTGTTTTTTTACTGTCTCTATCGCTCTCTCTGTCCCTCTCTGGTAAGGAAGGTAGGTAGGTAGGTAGGTAGGTAGGTAGGAAGGAAGGAAGGAAGGAAGGAAGGAAGGAAGGAAGGAAGATTTTAACTTTAAATAAATAAAGTTAAAAATAAAATAATTCTTAATTTTTTTCAATGAATGAAATAAAAAAGATCTAAACAAATGAAAAGACCCACTCCCATATTCATGAATTGGGAGACTTAATACCATTAAGAGTACAGTATCACAAACTGAACTGCAGATTCAACATAATTCTATTTTGTTTTTAATTTGCCAGAGGGTGTATGTGCTTACCAGAGACAGATACAGAGAGAGGGAAGACAAGAAAGTACCTCCCACAGGATATGGTCACACTGTAATTCCTTCTCCGACACCTCTTCCTCCTTTTGGAGTTTTGGGCACAAGTGCACATATGCCCAGTGTTTTCCAAATTGCCGGACTGGGGATTCAAATCATGCAGTCAGCCATGGGGGATCCAGCTACCTTCTCCACCAAACCACAGCTATCCCTCAACACAATTCTATCAAAATTCCAACTGCCTTTTTGTAGAACTGAATACACTGATCCTAAAATTCATATGGAATTGCAAGAGACCCTAAATAGCCAAAACTATCTTAAAATACAACCAAGTTCTTGAAATATTCATGTTTCCCAATGTCAAAAAACTTACTAACACAGTATACACAATAATAATCAAAACAGTATGGCATAAGGATAGACATATAGGAAATGGAATGGAATTTTAAGTCCAGAAATATCCTTATATATAATATTAATTGATTTTTATTCTTTTTCTTTGTGATTTTTTAAAAAAATTTGTGAGAAGATGTGTGGACTTGCTGGGTAGTAGGGAACAGGGAAAAGGAAAGCACCCCAAGTGGGGTGTGGTCAAGCCTCAGTCTCTGACATTGCTCCACCCCATCAGAGCACACATGTATGCTTGCCTGGTATATCACAGAAGCTGCCAGGACTTGAACTGTGGCTGGCCATGAGGGATCCAGCTCCCTGTACATGGTCTTTAAAAATTTTTAAAGAATTATTTATTTATTTAATTCCATTTGTTATTATTTTTTAATTTGACCAGAGAGAGAGACAGAGAGAGAGAAAGGGGAAGTGAGAAAGCAAACTGCCAGGTCCGGGACTCGAACCGTGGTCAGCCATGTGGGAATCCAGCACCCTTAACTACCACACCACCTACTGGCCCCACCCTACACACAGTCTTGAAACACTGTGCAAGGGGAGTCAGCCCTATCAACTGAGTTTTTCCCCCCAGATCTGAATATGTCTTTATTTTTTAGAAAATGGATTCTAGGACGGTTAAAAAGCAATTCCAGAGGGCATAGGTGCAGAATTGGATAGTCATTCAAAGCATTCAAGTAAGAATATGGCAATAGAAACATCTGAAAAGCATCTCTTTGGTGTTCGAAACAAAATGTAAAATCATTCTTAACTAATTTGAGTTTTATAGCATTTCTTGGCAGTGGGGGATGGGGTATACTTAACATCTGAAAGTCCTGAAAGCCTTTTCTTTGGTTAATTACATTAGATGGTTTGCCTTTGATCAAAATTTTAATGGTCATCTCTTCTGCTGACAACTTTACATGTTGGATGCAACAGTATGGTGTGTTCAAAGTGTGCTGTATATGATCCTTTAATGTCACATACTGGTGGGTATGGATCTACAATGCCCGAGTCACATAGATTCTTCAGAGCCATCAAGTATTTGTTTTCTCCCAAGTGATTCAGCCATCTTCAGCAGAAGGCAAGAGTGCGAATGTTTTCATTGATGATATTTAACAAGTATTTTGTTGTGGAAGCCTTATTAGCACATGTCCAACACCTTTTCCTGTACTAGCAGAGGTTTCAATGGCATATATTTCTTCCTCCATTATGGCTGCCTTGCTCTCTTCACGATGGGCACTGTTTTTCCAGCATGTATTCATTACTGCCCCACTGCGTGTCCATTAAGGTTACAGATTGGTTTCACTTGATATGTCTCCCCATCTATTTCAGCTTCATAGGATTCCGTAACTTCTTGGATGGCCTCACCAACATCACATAGACAAACATCAATTCCAGCACACTTTATTCCAGTATTACGGACAACTTCTAAAGCTTTTAATAATGTTTCATATTTGGTATTAAAAGAGCCAGTAAAAGCACAGTCAATAATCCTACCAGTTATACGTGTTCTAAAGTCCGTCTTACAGATGTCATCATACTATAATACTGTTGTCACCAGCATTGCACATATAATGGGAAACACAATTATTGAGAGAACACCCAGTAGGAAATACCATGCCTGCAACTAATCCATCCTTTTTTACTAGTTTACGTGAATAGTCTTTTACCTTCCAAAGATTTCTATCACTGTCATCCCAGGCTTGATCCAGCTCAACGTATTTTCTAACTTGTCGATGTGCTTCTGCAGCTTCTCAAAAAATCATTCCAGATCTCTTCATTAGCCCAATTAGACAAACATCAATTCCAGCACACTTTATTCCAGTATTACGGACAACTTCTAAAGCTTTTAATAATGTTTCATATTTGGTATTAAAAGAGCCAGTAAAAGCACAGTCAATAATCCTACCAGTTATACGTGTTCTAAAGTCCGTCTTACAGATGTCATCATACTATAATACTGTTGTCACCAGCATTGCACATATAATGGGAAACACAATTATTGAGAGAACACCCAGTAGGAAATACCATGCCTGCAACTAATCCATCCTTTTTTACTAGTTTACGTGAATAGTCTTTTACCTTCCAAAGATTTCTATCACTGTCATCCCAGGCTTGATCCAGCTCAACGTATTTTCTAACTTGTCGATGTGCTTCTGCAGCTTCTCAAAAAATCATTCCAGATCTCTTCATTAGCCCAATCTAATGCTTTCTATACTTCACTTGTAGTTCTCCAAGCAGCTGTGTATCCATCTTGTATGGGTAGGCATTCTTGTCCTTTGGGAAATACACCATTAGGATACGGGTCACATATCAGAACTGAGGGAGGGTGTGTTTGAACTTTTGGTTCTCTCATCTTCTTTTTCTTTCTCCTTTTTCTATCCAGTTGCTCCATATCATCACCATCTCCATCTTCATCATCTCTTTATCTTACAATGCTTGCTTTTCCAACTGTCTTGCACTGAGGTTCCTTATTCTTTATCAGGTTCCTGTTGCCCTTTGCCAGCTCCTTTACTCTTCTTTTTCTTCTGCCTTTTTGTCTTGGCTCCTTTCTCAGCCATCGAGGTAGTTCTCTCCTCATCATCCAGATCCAGGTCGCCATTCAGGCTCCTGAAGTTTGCTGTCTCTTCCACGTCCACCATGTTGCCCGAAAGCACAAGAGAGTGAGAGCTCAACTGAGTTTTAACAAGGGTGGAAAACTATTCTACAGGGAAAAAAAAAAGTCTCTAACAAATGGTGCTAATTCATCTGGATAACTATATGAAAAGAATAAAGTCCACTGAACCCCTACCCTATATAAAAATAAACTCCAAATGGATCAAAGAACTAAACATAGGCGTCCAAACTATTAAACTCCCAAAACACAGTTGTACATCTTTGGACATCGGATTGACAATGGATTCTTACATAGGATACAAAAAGCATAAGCAACAAAAGAAAAATAGAATAAATTGGACTTCATTAAAAACAGAAACCGTAGGGACTAGCAGGTGGGTTAAGGTGCGGGTCTTCCACATGGCCAATCACAGTTTGAGTCCCAGACCCTGTGGCTTGAAACTCACACCAGGTGTCTGTATGTGTGTGTGCTCAAATCCTGAGTGTCTGTATGTGTGTGTGCCCAAATCCTGAGAAGAGAACGGAAGAGAATGAACTGTGGTGTAGCCATCCCCACTGGGGAGTGATTTCTTTCTTTTTGTCTCTCTTTCTCCAGTGAGTGCACATGCACTATAGCAAAAATCTCTGGAAAAAAAAGAATAGAAAACTTTGTGCGTTAAAGGACACTATCAAGGAAGTAAAATTACAACCCACAGATTGGGGAAATTTATAGCAGCATATGATAAAGGTCTTCTTTTTTGAGAGAGAGAGATATTTGTGCTATAGGTCATGTGTGCTCGCCAGAGAGACAGAAAGCGAGAAATCACCTTCCAGGGGGGATGGTCACGCCGCAATCCTTTCTCCTCCATTCTCCTCTTGGGATCTTGGGCATGCACACACATGTGCCCAGTGTGAATTTCAAGCCTCCAGGTCTGGGACTTGAACTGCAGTTGGCCATGCGAGAGTCCAGCAACGTAACCATATGCTATCTGCTGGTCCTGATAAAGGTCTACTTTATAATACTTATACCTCAACAACAAAAAGATTACCCAGTTTAAACTTGGGCAATTGACTTTAAATACACATTCATCCAAAGAAGATACAGAAGTGGCTAACAAATACATGAAATTGTGCTCAACATCATGAGTCATTAGGAAAATGCAAATTTAAATGACAGTGAGATACCACTTCACACTCACTAGAATGGCAATAATATAAAAAAGAAAGAAAGAAAGAAAATGAATGTTGGTGAGTATGTGCAGAAATTAAAACCCTTACATACTGTGAGTGGGAATGTAAAATGATGGATAGCTATTGCAGGTAACAGTTTCATAAGTTTCACGGTTCCTCAAAAAATTAAGCAAAGAATAACCATGACCCAGCAATTCCGTTCCTAGGTAATGTAAAAACAGCATTTAAACAAAAATTTGCCCATAAGTACTTATAGCAGCATTATTCATAAAAGCTAAATAGTGGGAACAACTTAAATGTCCAGTAACTGGTGAGTGGACAAGCAAAATGTGGTATGTTTATATAATGGAATATTATTCAGCTATGAAAAGGCATGAAATACTTAAACACAGTAGAATATGGATGAAAACATTAGGTTAAGTGAAAGAAATCAGGCACAAAAAGCCATATAATGATTATGTTTAATGATCCTGTTTTTATTAAATGCCTAGAATAGGAAAATCCATATGTAAAGAAAGCAGATTAGAAGTTACCAGGAGTAGGAGTAGAGGTTAATGGGAGGTAAGTGGATAATGGGAACATGCTTTCTTTTGGGTGTGATGAAAATATTCTGGAATTACATAGTGGTAGTGCTTGTACAACACTGTGAATGTATTACAAGTCACTGACTTTACACTTTAAAGTGGTTAAAATGATGTATTTTATGTTATGTGAATTTTACCTCAACAAGAACAAATGTGCATGTGTGTTTGTGTACTGCAATTCTGTTTCTGTAGAATTTAAAAATATGTATATATAAAGATTTGTATATACACTTAAGCATAGATTGTACAGTTATGTAAAATGACCAGAAAGGACATATAGCAAACAATAGACACCTACAGGGAGAAACTGGAAGAGTAAATTAAAATTGGTAATGTCTTCATTTTTTATTCTATAAATTTCTTGATTATCTGGATTTTTAAAAAAGTAACATTAACTCATACTTTTATTACTTTTATAAATATGAGAAAATTTAAAAACAAAATAGTGAAAAAAACCTAAATGAAACAATTCTTATCAGAAAGAAATTAATACACATGGAAACAACAAAGCATTGGTTTTCTGAGTTTGGGTGTAAAACTTTTTCTTGTGTATTTTAAATTACCTTTGAATTTATCTTCCCAAAGTAGAATAGCTACGGTTACAGTTCTACTGGGAGTCTACTGGCAAAAGAGTAAAAATTCACAGCTGGACAGAGGTGTAGACTCTGCAAGACGGACCCACATGGGAAGGGTTTAGGTTCATGCCCAGAGGCCTCCCTGAGTATGCTGAGCACAGGTGTGACCATGATCCAGAGCGTATTGAAGCTTTGTGTGAATTATGGCATCAGAATTATGGCCTGTCTGTTTCGTTCTCTCATAGAAGAAATAAATAAAAAACTTTAGAAAAATATTTCACAATAAAAAAGAGGTTCAAGAGTAAAAACTTAATTTGTCTACTCTAAAGATCCTTTAATATCATATATTATGTTCCCTTTGAGAAGCACATACCTGTCTGGCTGATCCACTAGCCTGCCTTACTTTTTCTGCTACTCCTCCTAAAAGCTGTACGAGTTTTGTCTGCTTTAAAAGTTCTTCTCTGAGTCCTTTTCCTCCTACCGAGAGGAGAGCACCCAAAACATGTTCGTATCGGGTACCAAATTGTGCATCATGCAGGGCATCTTTGAGAAGCCTAAAACAGGAAAAATATTTATGTCAGCCACTCAGAAGACCTGGATAAATCTCCCTCAAAAATAAATTTAACAAGCCCTTTTTTGACATTAGGAAACTTAGTTTAAGCTATATAAACAAATCAAAACTCAACCATTATTACAAAGGTATAACATGCCAAATATTTTTAAATAGAAGGGGCTTGTTATTTTGGAATTTATTTCAAAGGTATAAAATGTTCTTTAATATAACACCTTCATGGGAACAGTAGGTAGCATAATAGTTACGTCACTGGACTCCCACATAGGCAACCAGGGTTTGAGTCCCAGACTCAGTGGCTTAAATTCATGCAGGTGTGTGTGCATGCATGCCCACGATCCCAAGAGGAGAATGGAGAAGGGACTGCAGCATGGCCATGCCCCCGGTGGGTGATTTCTCACTTTCTGTCTCTCTCTGTCTTTCCAGTGTATGCACGTGCCCTATAGCAAAAATCTTTAAAAAAAAAATGATAACACTTTCAATAAAATATCTGGTATCCACAGTAAATAGGACATATCATGTAGATTTACAAAGTCTCAATACTACAAATAAAAATAAGATACTTAATATAATGCAAAGCTTACCAATACAAAGTGTGGGCTATTTGGATATTTCCCAATGCCCTGGACAGAAGGAAGCGCACTAATGAACTATTCAAGTAAATTTCATATTTCAAAGCCTATGTGTGAAAGAAAGTAAGAATTAGTAGTAGTCAAACCCATATCTGGATAAAATTATCAAAAGAGAAACTATATAAAACACGTATTACTGAAGAAAGATAATTATAAAAATTAAACAGATGAATTAATTTAGGCCAAATTTATGAAAGCAGGCACAAAAGTGCCTCGCCAATAATATTCATTAGCTATGTTCAACTGGCAAATAAAGAAAAAATAAGGAAAGCCAGCCCATGGCCTGGTGGTTAAGGTAGCTGGATCCCATATGGCCGACTATGTGGTTCGAGTTTTGGACTTGACAACTTGAAAAACATGCCAGGCTTGTGTGCTTGTGTGCCCAAAATCCCAAAAGGAGGGAGAGATAGAGAAGGGACTGTAGCACGATGATGCCCCATGGAAGATGCTTTCTTGCTTTTCTTTCCCTTTGTCTCTCTCTGGCAAGTGTACACACCCTCTGACAAATTAAAAAGAAAAAACAAGGAAAATTTCAAGTCTCACTTGTTCCAAGATTCTAAAAAGCCTAAGAATTTAAAAATCAGGTATGTATACATAATATTCAAATGAGGCAGATGGCAACAGTAGGGAAAAATTCACACTAAGTCCAAATGCAATGCCCCTCAACATTCCCACACTACAGTAATGGGGATCTCTTACTAAGTTCTCTATTCATAAAAATTTGGGAGGGGGGGAGAGTGAAGAAAGAGATAACCTAGTAAAGAATTCACCTGCACAAACTGTGGAAGAAGATCTGTTAATTCATCGTCACTAATGGCCTCGATCCAGGTCACAGCGAGAGATCTTACTTCCTGATCAGCAAATCTGGAATAATATCGTAAAAATCAGGATTTGACAGTGATTTTTTTAAAGTGAAGTTGTATTCCCTGAAAATACAATCTCGATCTATTCCTCACACACACACACAAATATTCAAGTAGCTTTTTATCCATAATAATGTGTGTCTTTTAGTTTTAAACACAAAATGCTTTTTGATAACCTCAATCTAAAAGACATTCTTTGTAAATATATATTTAAATATATATATAAATATATTGTAGTATATTGTATATACTGCAATATTGTAGTATATTGTATTAAATTGTTTCATGTTAAAAAAAAGGGAAAGTACTGCTGCAACATAATACCTTACTGGAAAAAATTGACAATAAAATTGGGTAAATAAGTGTATTTGACTTACTTTGAGTCAAGAAGCTCCAACGCGGTCAGTGGGTACAACGGAGACCACTGGTAAAGCAATGAGTACGTTTTTGCAAGATTAGCCCATTTCCAGTTTGGAGCACTCGCTAGTACTTTAGGAAGACAGTTGGGGTGTTTGAAGCAATAATAACGTTTCTCCCACAAAAAGGCCTTATCTTCTTTAGAAAGTCTGCACACATAATGTAATTAAATTACTTTTCAGTGATATCATAGTGGCATAGTTGATTAAAAATACAAAGAAGAAATGTATTCATTTGGACAGCCATCTTGGTAGAATCACTAACACTAATTTGGAATAAAAAAATTTCAATGTATAGCAAACACCACTAATTTACCCTAATTTGGAGGTGGAAAGAAATCATTCCT